TGACTATTTTAAATGCATGAACATGTTAAAGGAGCATATAAGAGAAAGCAAAATTCGGCTTTTTGTTGATGCGTGATTTTGACACCAACGACTTCACACGTGCAAAGTGTTAAGCTGGCCTTAGAAATTACATGTGTTTGATTGATTTTAAAGTTCGGACAAGGTTAAACAATAATGTTGAATGCAAAGACCAAAGATTAAATAACACAAAAGATTTTTATAGTGGTTTAGAAATTACACATGTTTGATTGATTTTAGTGTTCAGACAAGGTTAAACAATAATATTGAATGCAAAGACCAAAGATTAAATAAGACAAATGATTTTTATAGTGGTTCGGATGCTTAAAGCGAATCTTACATCTACTGTTATTTTATTATTCTCTGACTATTTTTCTGATATTGCCTACAAGGTATACAAAAATTGAGAAATGCTTTGTTTACAAAGAATAAATAATGGTTGAAGCTCACATTTGTGCCCAATTTTTCTTTTTTATGAAGAGAGGTGCCCATTTATGCTTTTAAGGTCAATGTGATGAATGTTTTTACAAATTATCTTGACACGTAGAGACCATTCCTTAATTCGTATCTTTTATTTTGATAAAGTTAGGATATGATTGACATAAAATATCTCTTTGAGACGGTTTGAGTTTTTGACAGTTAATACCATCTTATGTTTAAGTGCTTGTTGAACTCTGATTGGTGGTATTGACATTAATTCGTATTTTTGGCACTACATTTTTCATAGTCAGTTGGCTTGATCGAAGACTTCATTGTCAGAAACACATGGTAATTGACTACTTTATATGCATGTGGAGTAGAGGTTTCAGAATTATTACCACACATTAATATTTATTCCTTTTAGGTAGTATATTAATTATTGTATACCCCTCAACTAATTCTATAAGTCACATGATCATCGTTTAAATCTTCAGAGCACACTTTAAATCTAAGATTATACGTTTTAACCACACATTTCAACACTAATTTTACCACTTGAAATATCTAAGGATGCTCCCAAAATGTAGGTAACCTTTATACCTTTGGTGTTCTTTAAGGTAACTTTTATATCATTAGTGTTCTTTATTTTTTTAGTATTATGTATTATTATATTTCAATAACCAGTGTTATGAGGATACTCAAAAAATCCGAAGCAAGCATAAATTGTTATGTACATAAATGTGTTGATTATCATACCAAAAAGTCACATTTTACAGGGGAAGAAAGAAAACAATGTAACTAAAAATAATAGATTGGTAAATCTAATAGGGTTGAATATTACTATTAATTTGGACTTTATTTTTGAGGGATTAATAGTAATAGGTAGATACATATTTATACCAAAAGTTTGTGGACCTGACCGAAGACTCCGTTAATGGAAAACTCATGGCAATATACATGCAGAAGTAAGCAGTGGGTCTGATAATAGCTCATTGTTATGCAGTGCTTTTTATACTTGATGATGATAATGGTTATGGTGAAATGTGATGCTTAATTAATTCATATTTTTATGTTAGTAGTGTCAATTTCTATTTTTATATTACTAGAGTCGTGGAGTCATGTTGTAGTAAAAAATTCCGTTCTTTTGTTTTCATTCTCAGCAAAACTTTAGTTATTTGTAGATGGTAAGTTCATGTTTATTGTTTGTGTTTAATTATTAAGTAATGCTACGTTTACATCACTTTTTTACACTATTTTTATTATCATGATGTGATATATGCCACAATCACACAAATTCTATTATAATATTAAAAATTAAAAATAATTAAAAATTTGTGTGGTTGTAGCATATGTCACATCATGATGTAATGAAAATGGTATAAAAGAGTAACTGTAACTGTAAATGTAACATTACACTTAATTATTTCAACGTAGCTCCATNTAGGAAAGTATTCTGAGGGGGTTGTGGGCTCTGGATTCGCCCATGGACCTAGGACGTGGGCCAGGTTTGAGAGGCTTGTGCCCGCTCGGTTTGGACCGGTTTATTCCTCATGTTTAGAATAGAACTAGCATGGCTTGGGCCTTTGCAGGACTGGGCCTGGTCCTTCGCTGTTAATGGTCCTTCTTCCCTATTTGGGCCAAGGACGATTTTTGGCCCTAACAACTACTTAACTATCTAAATTTATAATCTGAAAACAAATAGAAAGTAAACTTGGTCCAGACTGTTAAGACTTTTGAAGAGGGGAGGCCAATGAGTCTTGTGGTGGTGGAAGATTGGATTTTGGTGGTTGAGATTGATCGAAATTTGACTTGGGATGGGCGGTTGCGTAAACCCTAATCACTCAATTGTTGGCGATTGACGAGGTTAGCGGGAATAGGGTTTGAGAGGTTTTGGTAAATAATGATCGGGGAAAAGAATGGTGGTGGTATGCGGTCGCAACGATGCCGAAATTGGAGACAGAATATAAATTTGAGTAGTAAAATGGTATTTTAAAAGGAGGTGTTTGTCTAAACTTATAAGCTGGTCAAACTTACTTATAAGCTCTAAAATTAAGCTGACCTGTTTGTTTATAATTTTTTTGAGCTTATAAGCTAAAAAAAATAAGTTGGGGGGGAGGTACTTTTTTTTTTTTGGCTTATAAGCACTTTGCTTATAAGCTAGTTTGACCAAGTATATTACCATATTATCCTTGTTTAATTTTAAAATTCCATAGTATGCCCTTGTTTAATGTAGTACCTTTTTTAGTAATTTTATAATAAAATGTACTTATAAGCCACATTTTACCAAACACGTCAATTACTTATCAGTCACTTATAAGTACTTTAACCAAACACGTAATTGCTTAAAATTTCAAATGCTTATAAGTTAATTTTAGCTTATAAGCAATTGCTGCTTATAAGCTAATTTTCATAAGCTCAGACAAACACTCATGCGGTCGCAACGATGCCGAAATTGGAGACAGAATATAAATTTGAGTAGTAAAATGGTATTTTAAAAGTCTGTGGATGGAAAAGTGTCATTAAACCATTATTTGAATGGGAAAAATTTGTTTACTCTAATAATAAAGATCAAATTATAAGAAATCACAAACAACCAAACCACTATACCATTAGTTACGTCCATGGAGACATTGATAAAGCCAGATCACCGAGGTGTTCTCATTGTCTCTTGTCGCCATGAATCACGAAATATGTGCATCACAAAACAGGTTTTCGTTTTTCAAAAGTCTATCGATTGTTGATATGACAAAATCAAGACTGTTGTTGATAGCACATTGATCACTAAAAATTTCAATATATATATATATATATTAATTGGGCTACTGGATAAATTGAAAATGACTAGATCATTAATTGTTTGTAACTCACTAAGTTGCCAAAGCGTAGATTTGTTGGAAATTGGCTCCTTTGTGAGCTTTTGCAAAAGTCCCACATGGTTGGTAAAAAACAATATGGGGCTCACCTTAGTCCTATTCCTATATGTAGGACCTCCCTTCACCCCTCATGACATCCCTAAATTTGGGTGATTTAAAAATTTGGCCCAATTTGTAAGAGTATCTTTTCTTAAAGATTTTTAATTTTTGGGTATTTGTAAATTTGTCCAAAAGTTGTAATTTTCTGGAATTTCCTCTTTTGAAATTATTTGAAGTGATCAGCGGTCCCCAAGGATGAAGTTAACTTTTATACCTATGTGTTCTTTAAGGTAACTTTTCTTAGTATTCTGTTTTATTATAATTCAATAGCTAGCCTTAGCTGTTATATTATGAGGATACTCAAAAACTCCAAAGCAAGCATGAAATGTGTTGATTATCATGCGAAAAAGGCACATTTTACAGGGGAAGAAAGAAAACAATGTAACATAAAACCGCGTGGGAGACTAAAGTCAAGCCTCAAACTATATGCCATTCAACTTAGAATTAACTTGTACTTCCTGGAAACCCAACATTAAATGCTACTGAAACAGACTACCACAAAGCACACATCACGCCTTGAATTTTTCTGTCTAAAGCAGAGGATAGACTCATCGCAAGGCTGACTGGGAGGATTGTATTTATAATTTATAAACTCATTAACTGCAAAAGCTGTAACTAATCAGATTAATCACACGTCAAGTGATAATGTTAAGCTATTAAGAATTAAAATATCATCAATATTTGAGATTAATTCTCTCTAAAAACTTGTTAACTACTTCGTCTCTGTTTTCCTTTTCTTTAAATTTTTCTAAGCGGAAATACCCAACTCAAAAGGCTTTTCTCACGAAGAAAAAGGATAATTAATATCATACAAATATCTATGCCTTTATTTACAATGAAAAGCGAAAAATTTGGCAAAAAATAGAGCGGACTATACCACTATAGTACATTTATCCTGCATAATAAGAGTATGTTAAATGATCATCGATTAAATATTGAAATTCGACTTTCATATGACAAACGTATATCTTTTAATACAAACATTAATGTATGAACATATGTATTCTAAATCACATATGAACATGTTATAGTAGCTTAAATAGAAAAACAAATTCGTTTTGTGTAAGTCTATTGACTTGATAGAAGACTTTGTTGTTGAATAACACATGGGGTTTAACTAATTTAGTGCAAAATTATATAGGTATATACCACTAGGGATGAGACACGCGCGAGCTATTCGAGCTCGGCTTGTCGAAAGCTCGAATTCAACTCGAAGGCAGTCGAGTCGAGCTCGAGCTCGAGCAGCTCGTGAATAATATCGAGCAGAGTTCGATCCGGGTTGAGCTCGGCTTGTCAGGCTCACGAGCTTAAATGAGCTTCGGATTTTAAAATTATGTAGTACTCAGTCTCGAGCTCGAGCTCGAATGCACCTTAATACTCGCAAGCTCAAGCTCGAACACCAATATTGAAGCTCGACCAAGCTCGGCTCGAGCTCGAGCTCATTACTATTTATCACGAACCAAGCTCGAGTACCGAGATACTCAGCTCGACTCGGCTCGTATACATCCCTATACACCACTATAAATTCTAAGGATACTCAAAAAACAAGTGACAGTTTCTAGATCATCTTCTGAAGCTGAGTACAGGGCCATGGCTTCTGCAGTTTGTGAAATTGTTTGGTTGGTACAATTGTTGACAGAACTTGGTTATCCTCCTTTGTCTCCGGTTTCCTTGTTTTGTGATAACCAGTCGGCCTTGCACATTGCTTCGAATCCAATATTCCATGAACGCACTAAGCATATTGATATAGACTGCCATATTGTCCGAGAGAAACTGCAGGCTGGTCTTATTCAAACTCACTATGTTCCCAACAGTGATCAAAAGGCAGACATATTTACTAAAGCACTTGGCAGTCAGCTCCATCATCACCTCTTATCCAAGTTAGGAGTATTGAATCTTTATCACTCACCACCTTGAGGGGGGGTATTGAAGAATACACGTCAGCTACACTTCAGCTCTACTTCAGCTCAGCTTACAGCTTTCATTAATATTGTTTTAGTTAAATATTGTTTTAGTTAAATGTAACTATAGTTAACTAAATTAGTTGAGTTGGTTAGTGGAGTTGGTTAGTTGAATTAGTTAGACTTTACTTTTACTTAAAAGGCACTGTACAAAACTGTGTATCGATACAATTGAGGAATTCTTCTTCTTCTTTCTACAACTTTCCTCTCTGTCAAAATCTTTTAGTTAGGATTGTGAGAGAAAGTTTATAAGAAGAGATTGTGGGTGTAGCATTACTCATAGTTTGAATTTTATACTACTTATACTATTATCAACCAACATGATCAGTTATGATATCATTTCATACAGCAAAATTATACAAATGAAAATTTCCAGAATAAGTTTGTGAGAAGAGATTGTGGGTGTAGCATTACTCATAGTTTGAATTTTATACTACTTACACTATTATCAACCAATATGAGTTATGATATCATTTCATACAGCAAAATTATACAAATGAAAATTTCCAGAAAAATTAATGCATTGTGAATCATGCTCTACGTGCATAATTGAAGCTAAACAAAAGATTAATATGATGATAATAAAATACCATTTTATCAAACACCAGCAAACCCCTTTTCAGAAAGTTTGTGGACGTGACCGAAGACTTCGTTAATGGAAAACACATGGCAATATACACGCAGAAGTATGCAATGGGTCTGAGCTAATTTTCAGAGATAATAGCTCATTGTTACGCAGTGCTTTTTATATTTGATGATGATAATGGTTACAATGAAATGTGATATTTAATTAATTCATTTGTATGTTAATGGGGTCATGGAGTCAATTCCTATTGTTATATTCAACAAAGATTGGCTCACAATCTAATTTTACAGACTTTCTCTCACAATCCTGACGTGACAGCTTGCAATTGGTTCATTCTCAATTGGGCAAGCAAGACCCATTGTTAGGCAGACAAGACCTGTTACAAACTAACCAAGTGAGAGCTGTCACATTGGAGTTATAAGAAAAAATTTATGAGATTAGGTTGTAAATGTAGTATTGTCCTTTTATATTAGTGGAGTCATGGTGTAATAAAAATTTCCATTCTTTCGCTTTGCCATGACAAAACCTTAAAAATTTTACAAAAAAAATCCATTCTTGTAAATAAAACCATAAAAATATATATACATAAACTATTAGAATTAGAATGGGGTTTTACAATATGTGGCACTATACTGTTCAAAGCGTCATAGAGATATGCATATGTCTATTTCAATTTCTTGATTGATGTGAAAAATAGTGATTTGTGTTTAATTATTTCAACGTATCTCCATAAGTTGCTTTCAAATTGTGATTTGTGAGAGACAGGGGATTGCTGCCTTTCCTCCTCTAAATGCCTAATGAATAACAAGTACTCCATAAAGTATTTTCAACTATTTTAACGTCATTTTGTATTTATTTTACATTTAATTCAAATTAACAAAACAATTTTTTTAGAATGAAAATTTTTTTGGTATTTTTTTATTTTATTTTTAGAAGTACTAGCTATATATATGAAAAATCTTTCTTAGAAAAACAAATTGTTTGAGGAATCACTTGACAAATTTTTGCCATAAAACACTTATATTACAACATCCTACTCTAATGTGAAAACGTCTTCTACAATCAACCAAAAAAAAGCAATTGATACTCGTAAGTATTGAAGGCTTAATAAGTAAACGCCACCGGCGCACGCACCCTTTCTCTATAGTTTGCTTTTAAATTTATTAAAATTTTGGAAGCTTGATGATTCACGAGTCCCTTTAATTGATAATGTCGTTTTCACATCACGCTTATATTGCAACATCCTACTTTAATTGAATGCATGAACATGTTAAACGAGGATACAAGAGAAACCAAAATTCGTTTCCCATGGTCGGTTGACTTGATCGAAGACTTTGTTGTCGAGAAACACATGGTTATTGACTACTTTAAAATGCATGTAGGCTTAGGTGTTTAGAAATATTACCACACATTAATATTTACTGCTTGAACTTGACTCTTGGAGTTGCTGCTTGATTTTGACGATAATGTCAGGTGGCAGGTTTCCTCTACATTTGGTTCTGGTTATGGTGATTTTGTTCGTTGTGCATCAAACATTATAACGTGCATAGAGGAGGAGAGAGAAGCGCTGCTTGCTTTGAAGCAAGGCCTGGTAGATGAACGTGGCTATCTCTCGTCATGGGGAAGTGAAGATGTTAAAATAAATTGTTGTAACTGGAGAGGAGTTCAGTGCAACAACCGAACTGGCCTTATAAACAAGCTTGATCTTAATGTATTGCTCGACGAGTACTCCTATCCCTTCCAGGGTTTGAGAGGTACAATTAGCTCTTCTTTGCTTAAATTGCATGATTTAAGTTATTTAGACTTCAGTTTCAATAATTTTGGTGGAAGCCAAATCCCTAAGTTCATTGGTTCCCTCAGCAAATTGACTCACCTTAGTCTCTCTGATAGTAATTTTAGTGGACTAATTCCTTGCCAGCTTGGAAATCTTTCAACTTTGCAATTTCTGGACCTTGGCGTTAATTTTGGTTTATCCATTGGAAACCTTGAGTGGCTTTCTCACCTTTCTTCTTTGAGTTATCTTGACCTGACTCATAACAACCTTAGTAAATCCAGTGATTGGTTTAAGGTAGTTAACAAGCTCCCTTCCCCAAGAACCTTGATTCTACAGCATTGTAATCTTCCACCGATCATTTCTTCCCCTCTGTCACTTGTCAATTCTACATCTCTTCTGCACCTCGATCTCCGTTCCAACAGTCTCACTTCCTCAATGTATCCCTGGTTGTTCAACGTTAGTAATAATCTTGATTATCTTGACCTTAGCTCCAACCAATTACAAGGTTCCATTCCAGACGCTTTTGGGCGCATCACTTCGCTAACAGATCTCTTTCTTTTTTATAATCACCTTGAAGGTGGAATTCCAGAATCCTTTGGGAATATGTGTCGCTTACTTTCATTAGATCTGGGTTATAATAATCTTGGAGGAAAACTCTCGAAGTCTATTCGAAACTTAATTGGTGGGTGTACTGAAGGCACTCTGGAGGACTTGTACTTAAATGACAATAAATTCATAGGTTCAGTGACTGATCTTTCAAGATTTAAGTCCTTAAAAAGTACAACAACTTGAACAGAATCTTTTGAATGGAACCTTAACCAATAGCATTGGACTCACGTAAAAGCTTGAGGTTTTGGTTCTTCGTGAGAATTCATTGGAAGGTGAAATCACAGAAGCCGTTTTCTCAAATCTCTCCAACTTATTTCTTTTGGACTTGGCTGGTAACTCTCTTGTTTTTGAACTGAGACCTGACTGGATTCCTCCTTTTCAACTGAGCACTATAGTCTTGCCTCTTGCAAGATAGGGCCTCATTTCCCAAAATGGCTCCAAACTCAAAAACATCCTGATGTTCTGGATATTTCCAATGCTGGAATCTCTGATAGTTTACCTGAATGGTTTTGGGATCTATCCTCAAAATTACGTGAATTAAATCTCTCTCACAATCATTTTGAGGGTCCAATTCCAGCACTTCCTTCACATATATCTTATGTGAATCTGTCCAAAAATAAGTTTTCGGGAACGATTTCTTCCTTATGTTTCACCTTTGAGAGTTTGCATCATATTGACCTCTCCAGTGACATGCTATCTGGAAGGGTTCCAAATTGCTGGAAGCAATTCAATGACTTAACCATAGTTAATTTTGCAAACAACAACTTCCTCGGGAAAATTCCAGACACGATGGGCGCCCTAAGTAATCTTCAAAGCTTGAGTTTACGCAATAATAGATTCTTTGGAGAATTGCCTTCGTCTTTGAAGAATTGTAAAAAACTAAAAGTTCTAGATTTAGAAAAGAACGCATTATTAGGAAGGATACCAGAGTGCATAGGGGAAAGCCTGCAAGATTTAATTGTTCTTAGTCTGAAATCCAACAGATTTTCTGGAAATATTTCACTCCAGTTATTCCATCTGGCAAATATTCAAGTCTTGGACCTTTCTTTAAACAATATTTCAGGAACTATACCAAAATGTTTCAACAATTTTTCTGCAATGACTTATGAAGGGAGTATCAGTACCACCCTCACCACCGACTATTTCCTCGATGGAAGTCTATATGTGTACCAGAGACGAGAGTATTTTGACAATGCAGTGTTGACATGGAAAGGAAGTAAATTCGAGTTCAAGAATACTCTAGGATTGGTAAAGATGCTTGACCTTTCAAGCAATATACTAAGCGGAGAAGTTTCTGGAGAAATTATGAGTCTTACAGGATTGGTTGCCTTAAACATTTCTAAAAACAATTTGAGTGGAGAAATCACTTTGAAAATTGGTGATTTAAAATCATTGGATTTCCTTGATTTATCAAGAAATCAGTTTTCTGGTCAAATTCCTCCAACCCTTTCACTAATAAGTGGTCTTGGTTTCCTTGACCTTTCAAATAACAACTTGTCAGGCAGAATACCATCAGGCACCCAACTCCAAAGCTTCAATTCCTCGATGTATGGGGGGAATCCCGGTTTATGTGGGTTGCCACTTCCAACTAAGTGTCCAGGTGATGAACCATGTCAAGGTCCTGCCACTAATAATGGAGGAAAAGAGGGCACAGACGCTCCAAAAGATGACCTATGGTTTTATTTGAGTTCGATAATTGGTTTTGTAGTAGGGTTTTGGGGAGTCTGCGGGACTTTATTGTTCAAAGCTTCGTAGAGACATGTCTACTTCAATTTTTTGATTGATGCAAAAGATTGGCTCTATGTGACAGCAGGTGTCAGTATTTGCAAATTGCAAACAGGGCTTAGTTTCTAAATCTTAAGTCCTTTCAATTTAGTGTTTTTTGTGTAATAATTGCAACATTTCTACATAATTTGCTTTTGAATTGTGACTCGTGAAAGGGAGGGGACTGCTGCCTTTTCCTCCTCTCTGTGCCTATTGAATAACAAGTACAATATGGAAATGCAATTTGGTATTTATTTTTATAGCAGTAAATTGATATATATATATATACTCCTTTGTATATTTTGAGTGAATGTTTTAAATTTGTAATTGAAAGTTTCCAAACAATTTTGATCCTCATAATTAGTGAATTGGTCATTATGACTCGAGAGTATATAGGCTCATAAAAATTGTGTTTTCTCTTTAGTTTTGAGCACAAGAACAAGAAGTCAGTGTTCTGTTTTTATTGTTGAATTACATGTTTAGTTTGTTTTGTTCTGTTTTTACTGTTGAATTACATGTTTAGTTTCACTTTCAGGGTAATTTCCAGAAACCCCTCTTGAGGTTTGGGAAAATTCTAACAAAACCCAAGTCTACTATGAAAATTCAAGGCTCCATTTGGTTCACAATTTTGTGTTTTTGGAAAAAGTTTTTTGAAAAAAGTTAAAAAAAAGTTGAATTGGGCGGGTATTACGATGTAGGATTTACAAATTTATAAAATACCACCTATGTTTATTTATTTACAAAACATCCCCCATAATAAAACATTAAAAGTTAACAAAAACACCTCCAACCCACCCTCAAATACGGACAACCGGCCACCACCGTCGGAGGGTGGCCGAATTTGCCGTATCGGCGCATGACTGGCTGGATCTTGCCGGTCGTGCGCCGATATGGCCTTTTTCGGCCAAATCCACGGTAGATTTGGCCGGCAAAGGCCAGATCTACGGCTAGAACTGGCCATCAATGGCCAGATCTGGCTGTATTTGNATTGAAATTTCATCCATAGCCTTGATGACCATCCCTTACCATTATTTAATTCATTAATTGACGTCGGAGGAGGTATTTGGGATGGAACGCAAATGTGAGGGGAGGTCTGAAAATTTTGCGTACAAGTTGGGTTTTGTCGGGGAAGTCCTTGGAAATTACCCTAGTTTATTAATTGTCTTGTCTGTTAGATGTTATTTCCGGCAGCAGCTATTAAGCCTCTCGAATGTCATTCTCTCCTGGTTTACACTTGTTTCTTCTGGAACATAGTTCATTGTAATCTTGAGGGAGTTATATCGTTTTAAAACTAAAATAATAATAATAATAATAATAAAGTTTATGTAACATTCTCGGATTTATGAAGGTATTTAATTATAGAATAATACTACACATACATCATTCCCATATAACATTTCTCATACAACATTATGTGGTAAAATGTAATTGGGTGAAAATTTAATTTTAACTTTAAATTAGCCAATCATATCTTGCCACATAATGTTGTATGAAAATGATGTATGTGTAGTATTACTCTTAATTATATGTCAGAACATCCTTTCTTCAAAATGTGTCAACACATGAAGTTCATGAACTACTCCGCACACTTTGGTTAAAAAAATAAAATGTGTAAGCACTGAACCTCTCCAAACGTATATTATTGCAGCAGATTTCTGCAGTTTCTTTACTAATAATCACTTACCAGCAAGCCTTCAAAGATATTAGGTAGGAGAAAACAGGCGAAGGTACTAGTAGAACACTCACCTAGCAAAGATGGGTCAATGAATTACAACAAAGAATGAATGATGCATTATAACTTCATAATATTCAATGAATTACAACTAGGGAAAATTCATCCTATCTCGTCAAAATACATACTGTTAAAGATGCATCCTATATGATGCAAGCTGCTCAAAGGTACACTAATGTGGGAATTTTTGTCAGATCACAGCTGGAGAAAATTTCACTCCAACTTCTAGCTGACCAAAAAATACATTAAAAGACCATGTAAAATTGAGACACATTACAAAATGGACGTTACTCTAACTGAGTGATCAGCCGAGCCTGTCAGAAATACGGGCAAGGTTGGGTGCCAATCCACGGTTGTTATAGCTGCAGTGTGGGGAAGAGTTCTGAAACCGCTAGCATGACCTCGAACCTGAATCATATTAATTGAAAAAAGAAAAATAATCACTTTATCATGAGAGCACCGCCTGAATCTATAGTAGTCAGTGGGCTACCAGGCAGTCTGGACCGCCCACAAAGTAGTGATCTGTTTGGCCACAGATCAGCAACTTAATCAATGGTCTAGAGATTTGGACATTCAGTATCAATTTGCATGCAAACCAATAGTCTCAAAATGTAGAAAAGAGCCAAACACAATGCAAGCAGACATGTATTTATGTGTTAAAAGTGTACAAGAGAGAGAAAAACCTGATATATTGGTGCCGTTACTGAACCCGACGTTACCAATAATCTCTTCCCATTGGCATCCAAAGCCATCTCATGTCTACAATGTTTTGAGGTCTCAGGTTCAAAGAACCTACAAAATATAGAAAACACTGATTTAAGAAGGCAAATATACGAAAAATATGCAAGAATGCAAACATGTGATATTATCAACCACCATTAATCCAAGTTCAAAGCATCATGAATGGATTTCAATTGTTTCCACTATCATGGACTAAGGTTTTAAAAAAATTTGTTCAAAAGTTGTAAACATCGAAAGATTTACTTGTTAGTCTCTAAATGATTAAAAAAATTCATAACATGAACAGAAAGTTAAGTTTAATGCAGATGATCACATAACTTGTTCTTTGAAACTAAGCATATACCAAACATAGTCACAGAAAATGAGGTACCAAGTAATCAAAATACCTCCTACAACTCCTTGACCAAAGGACCTGACCTTGGTTTTGCAAGCTCCACTCAATTATCTACACAACAAATCAATTCAATGAAGTATTCATATTCAGCTTAATGGGGAAATGAACATGTAACATTCGAATGCTGTAATGCACATGCCAAACTTTGAACCACAATTGATACGGGAAATGAAGATACTTGCCTTTCCATCTGACCCCAAGCTAAAAATGCTTGTTTCATCAGCACCAAAAAGAATTGAGCTAATAGCAGAATCATGCGCAGGCCACCCAGTAATTTGAAGACCGGCAGACATGTCTTTGCCAAGTTAAGGGCATTGTGTACAGTAGGGGATATGTAAGCACACTCCTCTCAGATGTTCAAAAATGGGACACAATTCTTTTTTCCTAACTGACACTGGTACCCTTTCAAAAGAGGTGCAGATAAGCAGTTCAATAGACATGTAATGCCTTCAACTACAAATTTTTGTTACATGACAGAAAAAAAATAAAGAAAGAAAAAAGGATTTTATTTTCTTTTACTTCTCAGAACTGCAACTTCATATGTCAAAATGGGTACGCAAAGTGTATAGAAAACATTCAGAAATGCTAAGGACATTCTGTATTCAATCTCTCTTTTTCATGTGAACATTTGTCCTTGACACGTTTATCAATCTGAGTTGGATTCAATAAACTCTAATTTAGACCTATTACCAAAATGCCATTGTTGTAATTAAATATGTACACCTGTCAACATTAAGGGAGAGCATGAGTAACAGTGTATGAGACATTTTTGCTCACATTTCCCAAAAACCATTAGCTACTTAACAATTACATCAAACACTATAATTGTAAAAGGATACCAAACATGTGGATCATTCCATCGACTGCAGCAGCTGCTAGAATCTTTCCGTTGTGATTGAATCCAAGGGAAGTTATTGCTGGTGGATCTTCACCAAGAGGAAGGACTGTCTTCATAGAAGCGAAAATTCATTAAGGCACAAACTGGCAACAGTATCACAAAAAGAAGTTCAGGGCACATACCATAGCTTTCCATGTCTTCATGTTCCAGACAGTTAAAGAGGCAAACCCCCAAGTATCAGTATAATTTGAGCTGTAGCTGCAAATTAATATTGATCAAGATCGAGAGACCATATAGTACTTATGCATGAATGATGAATCTCTTAAAACAATATGTGCAAAATAATTGATATTCTCATATAACACCCCACCAGGTAGAAACATAATTTAACAATCTAAATATTGCAATTAAGCAGATTGTTAACTGCTCACCCATACCCATATATCACAACATATTTTCTAGCTGGCAGAATGCCCTTTTCCTTGAGCAATTCATGTTTATACGACCAAGCAAATGCAATCATCAGTCCATGTATACAGAACCACTACTTGCAAGTCTGATGATACACCAATAAACATAAAATTATCATTATCCTCTATTTTTCTTTTACAGGAAACAAACAGTTATATTAGTACTTTAGAAAGTTAAGTCTATTGTTTGATTCATAAATTATATTTGTACCAGAACAATTGCAGTGAGCTTTTATTCCAGTACACTAATGTTTCATTGTTCAATCTTTGATGAGCTCTCAAAAATGTAGCATGGCAGCTGGTCAGTTCAACTCATCGATTGGGGGATTCCAAGGATGGCTGGCCCATCAAGTGTCCAAAAAGTACCACAAGAAGACCAGAGTCAGCCACATCAATAGATTCAAACAAATTATCATTAGTTCAAATCTTAGTGGCTCCTTGCTAGATGTATTCGTTAATACTATTATCAGAGGGATGAAAGGCCCTTATTCCAACAGCTGAGAATATCAGATTCATGTGAATCTTGTGTTCCAGGCATGGGATAGAATTTAGTTTCTGCTTTTAGTTGGCAAGCTAAGTAAAAATGGGATATCAACTACAACTAGTAGGAAGAATGGTTCAAAATTAATTTGGTTAGTAAAAAACATGGAAACCAAAATACAGAAATTATCAATTATTGTACCCATGAGTAGAAAACTAGCATCAACAAGAAACTTGCCAGCGAACACTTATAAAGAATAGCATTCATACATACAGACTTTATTCAGGTAAGATCAGAAATACTCAGTTGAAGATTGAGATTGAACAAATACCCTCTGGATGCTGCAGCAGAAACAAATATCGGTTCTACTGGGCTGCACTTTAGGTCCAAGACACTAACCATCAACAAGTAGCATGTCACCCACTTCTACATCATTAACAAAATCATCGTAGTTGACACTGACACAATCAGCTGTGCCAACCCCTCTGCGAATTGTAAAAGTGAATTCCTGCCCAGTTGTTAAATTGATTGGTTGTGGTAAATCCCCACTCCTAACCTCTGGGCCCTGATAACAAAATAAAAAAATAAATAAGAATACAATTTACACCAATAATGAATGAAATGAAAGTATCTACATTATCCATATTAATAATCATCCTATATGATGGATGGGGCTTATGACAATATTTTACTAATTAAAAGGCCACTGATATTTATACTCAAAATAATCAGTCAATATCATGTATAACCTCAGTAATGCAAAAATTCACTTACTATAGGAACCTTAAATAATAACCATATATAAAAGTAACAAAAGTAAATAAAATGAATGGAAACCTGCCTTTGTATCAAGCATAATTGAAATAACATTGTCTTTGGACTGTGCATTATATTCTTTGACCAAATCAATAACTCTCTGATGAGATGCATGGTCTCCATGGGACATATTCATACGAGCAACATTCATTCCAGCCTCAGCCAACTTCCATATCATTTCTCTTGTGTTGGTTGAAGGACCAATTGTGCAAACAATCTTCGTCTTACGTCTGACTGTTGGTTTGGTCCACATGCCCACTGATGTGTCACCTAATTGTTGAAGGCCATCGAAATGCTGAAAGTGCTCCTCCTTCTAATCATAATCACGATAACAAAGTTTTCAAGTTCATTAATGCTTCCAATGCCAATACCATTTGCATAATAGATGAAACATTACAATTCACCAATCAAATTACACACATAGCACAAACCATCAATTCTTCAAGCTTGATCAAGGAACTTTTTCCATGTGCGATGAATTTATCAACTTTAAATCACAGATTTAAAATGAAAAGAATACTACAGTAGTGGAATATAAATCCCAGCATCGCCTCTGAAATCAGGCTTTTGTAATGTTATTTTGGTTCGCACAATGTGATATTAGTAAAATTCAAAGTTGAAGTTGTAATAAAATATGAATTGTCACAAAAATTGTTTTGCCCTTCATAAAATTTACCTTTCTTGCACTTTCCCAGAAAAGCATGTTAAGTTTTGTTTCCTCCATTTTAGTGAAAACAGACTACAAATGTACGTAGCTTACAATCACTCTTTCAGCTAAACATTAGCAAAAGTCACTTTATCGACTTCAAAAATAATATATATAAATTGAAAAGTTCAAAAAGAAAATTATTACTCTTATTTTCCCGCATTTTCTCAACAACCAGACATAATATACAACAAGCAGAATTCGCACAAACAAACCTTAGGTACATCCTCAGGTGACACAGGAATCACTTGAGAATCAGTATGCGTGGATCTCTTGGCAGAGATTTGAGTACTTTTAAGAACAAAATTAAGTTTGCGCTTCTCCTCACGTGCCAACACTTTAGAGGCAAAGCTCTGAGGCTTCAACTTCTCAGCTCGCTCTTGCATGGATCCAGAGCTAGGGCACAAAAAGGAACTCTGAATCAAACGCGTAGCAACCACCTGAGCCATTGCTAGAGATGAACGAAAGGAAAGCAAATTTGTAGAAAGAGAATCTATAGACGAAGAAACGACGTGTTCAGAGGATTTAAAAGAGAAATAATGAGTGTCGTTTTGATTTATTTGAGTGTTTGGAGAAATCGCCGCTAAATTTGGCGGAAGTAAAGAGGAAGGCCCAAGGAGAGGAGATGCTAACAGTGAGAGAGGGCGCTTAGTTCGTATCGAAAGAAATTAATTATTTTATTTATTTTGATTTGTTTTTGGGTTCACTTCATTCGAAACGGATGGAAGGTTTTGCAATTAATGGGGCGGTTGATATTGTCAATGATTTTTTAAAGAGTAAACGACTTTTTTCCCACTAAAGTAATAGTCTCTAATTACATTTCTCACCCATGATAGTTTTAAAATATCAATCTATTACTTAAATTTATATTTTATTTCTAATTTTGACATCGTTATTACCTCACATTACTACTATTCTCTTTTCGAATTATCATTCATCAAAACCTTCCTAACTCTATCACTCATCAAAACCCTTCAAACTCTACTCTTACCAATCCTGCTAATTATTGGTAATCGAGTGGTTAGGGTTTGCACAATCGCTCCTCCTAAGTCAAATTTTAATCAATCAATCTCAACCACCAAAATCCAACATTTCACCATCAAAAGACTCATCAATCTCCCTTCTTCAAAAATCTTGAGATTTTGCTCTCTATTCGTTGCTGGAATATAAATTCCGACAATAAAGTGATATTTTAAAAGTCTATTAAAGAAGTATTTGGGTGGAAAAAGTCATTAACTCATTTTTAATTTATGTACAAGGTATAGTCCATGTCTAGTAGATCACGCGGCGTCGTTTCTGTTCACTTCTTAAATATGAAGGCTCCCTGCCCCTCTTGGCTGGTGTTGAACTTTTCTCATCCTTTGATTTCTTTATAAGATTATGGAAAATAAAAACAATTTTTTTTTCTTTTTGTTAAAATATTTTGTTTTGATTTATTAGAAATAATTACATGAGAAAATAATTTATTATACTTAATATAAATTATGATATATCAATGTGGATAATACATCATAAGAAATGCGTGTTCAATTTGATGAGCAGTAGGTAGCGTAGGTGAACCAATTTGATGGTGGGTTCACCTAGCATTTAGGATTCATTTGTTTTTTTTTTTTTTTATTTAAATAATCGGTGGGTGTTTGTGTCAGTTTATCGCACCTCGATTGATTATTCAAGAGTCTAGAACTATCGATCGAGTAAAAATTCAAGTGATCACTCTTATTATTAGCAATTAAAGAGGAACTTAAATTCAAAAGCTCTTGAATAATACATCAAAGAATCTTAGATAAAACTCTAATAGTAACCCTTGTTCAATGTTTCCTTTTACTATAGTATTTCCTTTTGATCTTGACACAATTTATTTATTAAAGTATCAACTTGCCATTATATTAATCTAAATTTTATATGATGACTTACAAGTAACTTTATTATTTTTTGGTAATATTTCAATATTGTGATTCAATGTCTTGTGAATTGTAATAAAGCATCTTACACTTTTATAATATAAGTGTAACGTTTTTTAAATACAAGGGCAATAGTTTCGCCAATCCCAACCTTTAACTTGAACCGTAATTAAGAGGTTAATAATATAATTAACAGTATTATTATTATCGTAAAATAGGGTTGGTAATTTGGTTGATAACCAACGGATTAAAGAATATTTTATTCTAGTAAGAAGAGTTTAATTTTAAATTCATGAACTTGAGATGGATTTGACTTTGATACAAAGAAATCAACCATCAAAGTTATGGTTTAGGTTGGGATTTATGCTCAGACATAGACTCAAACATATTATAGACCCTTATCNTATATATATTTTTATTTTTTTTTTTTAAAAGTGAAAACAGACATGATCGGGTATAGGTTCTGTATTCTCTTACCCATTTATATTCTCAACCTGTTTGATCCATACCCATTCCCGTCTTTACCTGGCCTGTACCTGCCCGTCTGCCAGGTCTAACTATGATCCCTTATTAGAATAATAGTCCTTAAATTTTTTTATTTATACTGTGTATCAATAAGTTTTAGTTTATTCTTTTAATCAAACTCAAATTTATTCATAATAGCTGTGATTGCACTTAGTTTTTTTTTGTACAAAAACTTTATATAATATTGATTAGATATTCATTTTAATTTTCTAATGATTTTTAAAAAAATTGAAGGAAAATAATATAGAATTAACATGATTTTAATTAGTGTTAAATTTTCAACCAAATAGGAATTTGATATCATTCACCATAATGTGTCTCTAATTAATACAGTCGGATCACCAATACACGTTGTATTTTTTTTTTTTACTGTAGAAACTGCTTATCCTTAGGCAAAATGTGTGTACGATTGAGCAAGAAAGTTCATTTTCCAAGTCTATTGTCAATTGATCCACAAAAGCAAGACTTTATTGTTAAAACACGTTGATAATTACTTTATATATCAATGCAGTAACTGAGAAATTGCATATAACTGACGGTGTTTGATTTTTAGAATTATGTTGACATGGAAATGAAAGAAATATGAATACAAATGTAATATGAGGATACTCAAAAACAACGAAGCAAGCATTAATTATTATCACACAGAATTTTGTTGATAACAATACAATTTCATTCCAGATAGTCACATTTTACTGGGGAAGAAAGAAAGCTATGATACATAAAACCATGTAAGAGGAAGACAAGGCTCCAACTTAACTATTTAATTTATTTTAAGAGAAATGATGCGCTTGCAATCTCTTTCCACAAACTTTTTCTCACAATTCAAACATAGCAGTTCACAATTGGTCAATCATAATTTATTAGGTGGAACCCAAATAAGATCTATTATAAACTGATCAATTATGAATTGTCATGTCAGAGTTGTAAGAAAAAAATTGTGAAAAAAAGGTGATGAATGTAACATTTTCCTTATCTTAATTTCAATTGGGAATTAACACATACTTTTTGGAAACCCCACAATGACTATCACAAAGTACGCATCACGGGTTATTAAGAACTCAATATCTTCAATAATATTAAGTCTAGCTTAAAATAATTATATATTCATTCTTTCTAATTATATCATCTCTCCTTTTCATTTTTCTAAAAGGAACGAAATCATGTATGCCAGCAAAAAGGCTTTTGTTCAAGTCAAAAGGATATGATTATATTGATTGTACAAATATATTACACTTCATATTTTCAAAAGTTTGAATTTTATACTATTATCAACCAACATGAGTTGTGATATCATTTCACACAGCAAAATGATGGAAATGAACGTTGCCAGATTACTTAATGCATCGTGAATCATGCTCTACGTGCATAAGACGATCTGTTAGAAAATAGGAGAAGCTAAACAAAAGATTAATACGATGACAATAAAATATAATTTTATCAAACACCAGCAAATCCCTATTCCAAAAGTTTGTGGACCTGACCGAAGACTCCGTTAATGGAAAACACATGGCAATATACATGCAGAAGTATGCAATGGGTCTGAGCTAATTTTCAGAGATAATAGCTCATTGTTACGCAGTGCTTTTTCTAGTTGATGATGATGATGGCTATGTCAGGTGGAAGGTTCCTTCAACATCTACTTCTAGCTGTTTTGATTTTGTTCCTTTTCCAGCAAAGAGTTGCGGATTCTGACGTTATGAGTTGCAGAGATGACGAAAGAGAAGCACTACTCGTATTTAAACAAGGCTTGGTGGGTGACGATGGCTTTCTTTCTTCTTGGGGAAGTGAAGATGATAAAAAAAATTGTTGTGAATGGAGAGGAATCCAATGTCGTCAAACGGGCC